AATCAGCCACACGACGCGCGACACGGCGCCGTCGCCGACCACGGCTTCCCCCTCCACTCCGGGGGAGTCGCCCGCCGCGCCNTACGGCGCCATCTACGCGCGCTCGTCGACGCGCGCGAACACAGCCTCGTACACACGAGAAGACCACGGGAGCGACTGCAACTTCGATCCATTGCAGCTCCGCAATCACGGTACATCCCGACGGCCCCAGGGCCCGCTACCTCAGCGCACCATCCCGCCACTGCGTCGCCGCACGCACCAAGCCCGCTCGCCGACGCGAGCGGCACCACGCCCCCGGCGCACCCCGGGTCCGGCGTTCAAGCCCGCCTCCACGGCGACACCGAGACCGTCTACGCCGCCGACGCTACCGACGAGCTCCTCTCTACGCGGCCGCCGACTCCGCGACGGGCCGGGTCCAGATTCCGCACTGACCCGTCTCGCTCTTCCACCACTTTCATCACGCGTGTTCGCCACGCCCTGGCTCACCCTGCGCGCTGCGGGGGAGCACAAGACACCACACACACAGGAGCACCCTACCCTGCCTTCACCATCGGCCTTACCGAGCCTCTACCGGCTCTACTGGTCCTCTCACACATTCCTAACATACTCTGTGTCTCTATGGGAAAGCCAAGGCAAGAATATTATTATTATTATTGGGGATTTTGCGTCGGAGAAGCCGCATGCACAAGAGCACACCCGGCCGATAGGTCTCGGACGGAAGAAGTCGAAGTAGGTGGGGGGCTGCCCCCCAGCAGGGGCCGAAGGCCCACGGGGGGAGGATCAGCTTCCCCGGCGCCCCGAGGGGCGAAGCCCCGAAGGGCGGGAAAATTTTGTCCCGAAGGACCGAGCGAGCGAAAGATACAATTCTTTGGCACTACGTAGCAGCCCGTGGACAACAAGACTCTTCGGAACATCAAACCACACAATAAACAAACCAAATCAGAGATGGCACATGAAAAAAGATATGTAGAGGTTCCGAGTTTGATAGCAGCCTGAGACAAGGGCAACTTGAAAACTCTGAAGTACCAAGATAGCATCATCGGTGGCTCCGGCTACGAGCGGCTACTGAGAGGCATGCCAGTGAAGCCATGCCCAAGGCATCATTCAATTCGATTGGACGATGGGTGGCGCGCTCGAGGGAAGTACCAGCACGGGGAAGGCCCCACTTCGCTGCGTCCGGAAGCGATTTCGATATCTTTTTACCTGGCTAGGCCTGCGACGACCGAGCCGCTGAGCTCCTCCACGTTTCTCGGGGGGGCGCGGGGGGGGGGGGGGGGGGGG